AGAAGCATTTCTATGGGTGCCAATATGATTTTACTTTTCAGCTCCACATTTGTGTATTTCATTGCTTTAGAATAGAACATTAAATATTAATTTTTGACTTAAGTGAATATATATAATCCTGAAAGAAATTGTTCTAGCTGTAGAGAGTGTTGCACCTCATGTGTGGTGTTCTACCTGGCTGTTATAATGAAGCCAATCACAAAGAAGATGTTGGTAAATTCTGTGGTTTGGATGTTAAATGCCCCTCCCAACGCCTGTATGTTTAAATCTTGGTTTCTAGCATCACACTCCTGCAAGGTGAGGGATCCTCTAGGTGATAAGGGTGTTTCTCCAGTGCCCTTGTCTTACTCCCTTTCACTTCCAGTCATGAGATGAGTCGTTTTGCTTAGACACACATTCCCACTATCAACATGTTTTTTTTTTAAGCATTGTGGGATTAAACTCCTAAAATTGTGGAAAAAGAAGCATATTCTCTGTATAACTTGATTGTCTGTGATACTTTATATTAGCTGAAGGTTAACTAAAAAATATTTAACATAGCTGAAAGTTGCATATCCGTTGAACCTGAAAATTTCAAAATTCAGTCTGTTACCCATTACACCCTATACCAGTCAGTTTAGAATAATTTGCTGGTCTTACATGGCTTTTGTCATATCATTGACTACAGTAGCTACAGTTTATGATAGGTTCCTAACTATTGTTTCTGGGAGAATAGACAGTGATATTAGGGATATGGATTCATTTCCTGGCTAGGACAGCCCAAGAGCTTACAAGAGTGGACTTACTTTAAATAGTCTCAAGGAGTAATACACAAGCTAAAATGGACATATTCAGCAACAGAAAGATGCTCTGTGGCCCACTGTCCACCATATACTAATATAAAGCAAAACTACTGTTAGATCACCGCATGACCATACTTCCATTTAGATGCAGCATTGATAACATAGGTAACTGTTGCAGTGGTTGAATTTTGTGGAATCGTATTAGTTGCATACAAACAAGTTTATACTGGTTCACATGTAGATGCATGAAGCTGTCTAAATTTGCTTGCCATGGCCTTGGGAAATTACTGTTTCTGTATCACATCAGTATCAGTGAGAAACCTCATGTGGGTCATTCAGTGACTGATGCCACTTGACTCAAGCAGATAGACGATGGAGATAGTTGCCAAGCTTTGGTGCTGGGTCTAGGAGGATATATAGCAACAGTTTCTCTCCAATTCCTATCTTCCAAGGGCCCCAGGAGCTCCAATTCTGCTACTTAAACTGTTCTTGTTTCACCAAATGATCAACTTGTTTTCCCTCCTTAGCTGCTAACACTTTCCTCCTAATGCAGTACCTAATACCTCATCTATTTACTTATCAATTCCTGTACCCAGACCCTGTTAAAAATACATCATGTTTTTTTGTGGGATGTGGAACAGTGACTAGACCACTGAAGGAGTAATCCAGGCCTTAACAAATTCTATTAACTGATCTTTCTTCCTGTGGCCTGTGACACACACTGACTGGAAAAAAGTCACAATAGAAGCAATGCCTCGAAGTCACCCTTGTTGTATTATATAATTAAGATCAGCATGATGAGACAGAGAATTGTTTTCAGATTTTCAGTATTAAATCACTAATATACAAGGTAGGTCTTCGTATTGTGTGGCCCTTCTGCCCTAGCATTCCTCAAGGAATCATCAAAACAGAATATCCTCCTTGCAGGGAACAGCTTTATATATCAACCATACATCATGAATATTATGTCTAGTCCAAAATTAGGACAAAATATTTTGCCTAACTATCTTTTTTATTCCAGATTAAAAATTCATTCAATCTCTTGATGATACCAACACTCTGAACATGAAAAGGAACACGAAATGCACATTGAGTGGCAAGCCCATTATTGCACTGTTAGGTGTCCTTCACTGTGAACAAGTGGGCAGTGTAAGAATGTAAGCATCATAAACATAGCAAAAATAAGATCTAAGTCTTAACATGATATAGCCAGATGCTACCAGTGTACAAGAATGACAACTTCCTAGCTGGAATAGGTTCCACTGTCTGATACCAGATAGGGCCACAAGAGGGCAGCAGAGAACACAGTAGGCTTTTTTCGTGGCATGGTAAGGGTTCAAAGTTTTCTCACTAGTGACAACACGGGTGGGGTTCTTCTTTAGAGGTTGTAGTTAACATTCCTCTAGCTGTGACCAACTATCTAGTAAGCAGCTTACAGATGGAGACGTTCATTCTGTCACTCAGTTGCGGTGATGAAGTGTTAGACCCTGAGGGTCACAGCTGCAGCAGTAGAAACTTGAGTCTTCTTGCTCACATCTGAGTGGATCAGGAAGCAGAGACAGGTCAGGAAATGGGTTAGACTACACATCTGAAAGCCTTCCACCAGTGATCCACTCCTTCCTACAGGTTCTCCAACCTCCAAAAACAGCATATCCAGCTTAGGAACAAATGTTCAAACCCATGAGCTTATGGAGAGAATTTCATAGTCACATCCTAAGGAAGCGACATCATAATCTAAGGATTAAGATGCACAGTCACTTGCCTAGGCTGGTGATGAATCCAGGTAATATATCTAGTCCCCAGAGTTTTGGGGGCTCAGTTGGCTGTATTGTTTGATTTAGACTTTTCTGAGACTAGACAAATTACTGAATTCACATGGATTGCACAAATTCCCTGGTAACTTCCTTCTGGAGAAAATGAAAGTGGACTAGAAGTCTTGTGTTCAGTTTAGTATAACCTCCTACTAACACTGCTCTATTAAGTTGCTCTTCACAAACAGGAGAATCCAAGCCAGGTGGTGGTGGCGCACACCTTTAAACCCAGCACTCTGGAGGCAGAAGCAGGTGGATCTCTGTGTGTTCAAGGCCAGCCTGGTTCAGGGCTACACAGAAACTCGGTCAAAAAAAAAAAAAGAAAGAAAAAAACCTCTATCTTAAAAAAATAAAACGAAAGAAACCAGAAAACAAACAAACAAACAAAAACATAGAATCCCCCCTCCCTGGTTTTTATGAGTATGTGCATCAAGCAGAAAGTATAATACCAGTAAAGCAAAGCCAGCACTCTGAAAGATGGCCCAGAAATTAATCGTGGCCACTCTTTTGATACATTTCCAAATCAAGTGGCCTTGTCCCTCATGAAAGCATTATGTGTCAGGGTTTTGTTTTGTTGTTGTTTTTTAACAAACAAATAAACCAAACTAAATTTCATCTCTTACCTTTACAAAGTGCTTCACTTTACGCTTACAGAGAGACCTTTAGAATTACTCTTAGCGCCTGTTCCTCCAGTGAAGATACAAGGTGTTAAGGTCAGACAGTATGATTATTGAAGAATAATTTGTTCTTGGTAGCCAGTGGCTTCTTTGTTCCTCTTATAAAAAGAGAATGACCTCCAGGGAGGAATCTGGTTCCACAGAGATATTTTCTATTGCAATTGGATAGACAGTTGCCTGTTTATATCTTCCTCCCTACCTACACAGCTCATATCTGGAAATTGTTTCAGTGCTCAGTGCATTAATCTCTTATTAATCTCTTTTGTAATAAATCTGTTTTGGAGGCTGGAGTTGATTTGAGGCTCACTCTCTCTCTCTCTCTCTCTCTCTCTCTCTCTGTGTGTGTGTGTGTGTGTGTGTGTGTGTGTGTTTGAAACAGTGTTGTACTCTGTAGCTCAAATTGTTCTAGAATTCACTGTGTAGGCCAGGTTGGTCTCTAGCTTGCGGCAATCCTCCTGCCTCAGCCATCGGAGTACTAGAAATGCAGTTGGAAGCTGTCATATCAGGCTTGAAATCTTTGCTTTATAACCAAATGCGCATTGACTCACACCTAGGTCCTACTCTAGGGAACTATTTTTACACTCATCATCTTCAGTCTGCTAGCCAGTGGCTTCTTTGTTCCTCTTATAAAGAGATAATGACCTCCAGGGAGGAATCTGTTTCCACAGAGATATTTTCTGTTGCAATTGGATAGACAGTCAGTCTTCAGTAGCTATACCTATTGTATTTTGCTTCATATTACTTTGTTGTTCATTTTTATTAGGCAGTCTCATTTGTAACCCAGTCTGACCTGGAATTTACAGTTTTCCTGCCTCCCTCTTCAGAGCTAGAGTGCTTGGTTTGCAATTGTGCATCACTACACCTGCCTCAGCTAGGTTTTGAACAACTTCCTTTGTATTCATCCTGAGTTGGTCATAATTTCTTTGAAACAGGAATTCAAAGCAGCAGGCCGTGTTTGGAATGTTTTTCATGTATCATGAGGTCTTGCATGAGAGAGCCCACATGCTACCATTCATCATCTAAAAGCATGCCAATTCTTGTTCTAGTTCCAGATATACTGACAGAATCTCAAACTGCCTCCCATCTTTTGAAGGCCCCTATTCTCTATTTTCTAGGAGAAAGCACCATTTGGACGGCTTAATGAAATATTACCTTTCATGACTCAGTGACTATTCATCAACTCTCTTCTGTGCCTCTCATTGCACTATATAGGCTGATGCATTCGTTCCTCTTATCAGGGGATTGATCTGGGTGGTTTTGTCTTTCTTTTCAACAGAGACATTGTCTACATTGGTAGTTTGCTATGTCAGTCCTTGTTGAAACCTAATAGCTATCCACGAAGCAGCTAAACTATAAAGAAAGTGAGTGAGTAAGCCAGCACGCCAATTTGCCATTCTCTACAGGTGGTGAAAGGAGACAAGATTTAGTGAGTCAGTACAAAAAGTTGATTACTAACAACACAGTAAACAGCCGCAGTGTCAGCCTGGGAGCTCCAGTTCACCTGTCCCTGAATTCCACTGTGTGACGCTTCAGGAGCAGATGGCAGCTACAGATACTGGGTTTCGCCACAGCTGAGCAACTTGGGCTACAAATTCAGTGCCTTTATATAGCAAGTAGTTAACCAGCCAATCATTCTCCCGCAGGGAGGGAATGTTGGTGCAGCAGTCCTGCTGTGGTGTCATGTCAGTAATTTTCCTTTCTTCTCCCCAGTTCCCATCTAGAGCCTTAAGACCACTGCACATATGTTTCCAGGGTTTATGCCAGCATATTTGTTCTGTGTTTACCACTTCCTTTGTTCATTAACTCTGTCTTCTGAGAGGAGAGACTTTACTTCCCTGTTCTTCCTGTAACAAGAGCTGCTCTTACAAGTTGGTGTGGCGGCAATGAGAGAATGGATTTTGAATGTGTCATCCCATAAACATCCTGGGTTCGTGCTGTACATGCAAGGTCTCCACACAGGAAACTTGCTGTCTTCAAGCAAGCTGGAAGGGCAGGGTAGGAAGGCTATTTTTACTGATCTCTATGCATAAGGGGAGAGTAATGATTCAAGGTCTCAGATTCTCCCTTACACATCTTCACATCCAAGTGATCATGAGTGCATTTTTTAATTTGAGGTAGGAAAAATCTTCAATTCATCTATCCAGTTCCATTTTGAGTCTGCTTCGAGACTGGGCTTTTTAGTGCAGTCTTCCCTTTTGTGGCAATCTCTTTAAGCTCGGCTGTGGAAGCCCTCTAGGTTTTGCAGGGATCTGTGGCTGATCCCGGGCTGTTAGGGTTTTTTTGTGTGTGTGTGTGCTTTTAAGTTTACTGAATCATAACCTACTGAAAACAGAGGATAAAGTTCAAATTTACAATTTGATGAATTTTTCACTATGTGTAATAGCCATGTAATATTAATGACAAACAACATATTGTCACATCCCACAATCACTTCTCATTCTTACTTAAGGTTATTGAGCTTCTAATGTGACTTCTCTCATCATATGTTTCTTCTGCCTATTTTCCAGCTTCATGTAAAATGAGTACTATATAATATATAGTCTCTTGTGAATGCCTTAACACACTTTTGTAAAATTCACATATTTTAGATGATTGTCTGTTTTTGTTTTTTTGCTATGTGATATTTCATTCAGTTACTATAGCACAGTTTAATCATTCTGCTTTTCATGTGGGCAACTTCAAGTATTTGAACTATTATGAATAACTAATGATGCTATAAACAAACACATATACATTTATTCTGGTGCATTTCTGCTGGATCATTTTCTAGTAGAGAAATTGCTTTTACACAGGTTGTGAAAAAATATACACACAATCTATTGCTGCAAAGACATTATATGTACATATATTATATATAGGCAGTTTATGCTAATTCTGGTTACTTGCTGTTTTCACAAAGAAATGATGTTCTCAGCAGTTTTCATTTTAGCTATTAAGACACAAGACCAAATACAGTACAATATACTTTAATTTGTGAGAATGAGAACACCTTCATTCGCTCATTATTTAATTCTACTACTCTTTTTTTTAGACTGTCTTTTTGCCAATTTTACATAGCATTTTCTGTTCTTTTATGGATATGTAGAAATTATTTATATATTCTGTATAAATTTTTTTGGATATACATTCAAATTAATAAGACTTTTTCTTAATGAAAAGAATTCTTAAGTTTTTATTATTGTTCCTTTTCATTGTTGGTGCTTTTGATCCTTTTGGATGTGTCCTGTTAAAGAAACTGTTGCCTCCCCCAAAGTCAGTAAGGCATGCCGTACTGGAAGGGGGAGGTGATGCCTGCTTGTGGAGGCCAGGGGACAGTCCCAGCTGTCATTCCTCAAGCACTGTCCACCACCATTTTTGGACACAAGGTCTCTCTCTGGCCTGGAACTCACCAAATAAGCTGTACTAAGTGTACACCAAATCCAAAAGATCCACCTGTCTGGGTGTCTCCACTACTGGAATTATAAGCACATGCCACCATGCCTGGCTTTTATATGTGGGTTCTGTGGCTCAAACTCTTGCCCTTGAAGCATTTAACCAATTGAGGGATTTGCTCGGGCCTCCTCATGTGTCCTTTTGAATTTTTTTTTTGCAGCTCTGGCATACATGCCTTGCAACTTTTTCTGATTTTTAGTAGTTTGAGCATCCTTTCCTCAGTATAGTTGCACTTTTAGCATGAATCAGGTAACTATGTATATGTACAGTTATGCATTTTATGTTTTCTGAACAACTAGTGTGTGCATACAATTTCAATAATCTCTATAGTTCTCCATTAGTTTTAATATACATTAATTGTACAAAGTAGTATACTGGGTAATATGGGTTATTGTGATATTTCCATAAATGAATACATTTTGATCATATTATTCCTTCCACATTCCTAATAGTAGTCTCCATTTTCAAGTCCTCATGTTTTCTTCTAAATTCTGCATATGAGAGAAAATGTGGTATTTGTATTTATGAGACTGAAATATTTCAATTAATATAATAATGTTTATTTCTATCTAATTTCCTGCCAATGGCATAATTTTGTGCTTTGTGGCTGAATAAAAGTTCTCTCTCTCTCTCTCTCTCTCTGTCTCTCTCTCTCTCTCTCTCTCTCTGTGTGTGTGTGTGTGTGTATGTACGTGCACATGGGTATGAGAGAACTTTTATCCATCTTTAACAGACACATGGGTTGTTTCACTATTTGGCTATTGAAAAAGTGCCACATTAAACATGAATATGCAGGTAGTTATGATGCTTTTAATTTTTTAAAATGTATACTCAGGAATTGTATGAATTATATGTAGTTTCACTTATAGTTTTTTGAAAACTGACATATTGATTTAAATAGTAGCTGCACGTAATTTACATTCCCACCAACAAAGTGTAAGAGCTCCTTTTTCCTGTTTCTTCACCACCAGTATTTGCAGTTTTGTTTTGTTTTCTTCACAATAGCCATTCTGAATAGACTGAGATGGACTTTTTATATAGGTTTGATTTGTATGTCCTTGATGACTATGAATATCGAGCTTTTTTCATGTGTGTGTGTGTGTGTGTTTAATCATTTGGAAAGTTTCTATTTTATTTATCTTACTGATTTGACTATTTGATTTGTGATGCATATTCATCAAATCCAGCCTTGAAACAGGGCAAAACTTAAAGCTGCCTTCAAGCTGTTCCTGCTAGGGGTAAGCTCATGGACCACCTGACCAAAAGTCCACTTGCACCAGTGATGCTCCACCAGAGTGCAAGTGAAGGTAGGAAACACCTGAGCAGTGGTAGAAGTACAGTTTCAACAAAAGTCTGCAGAATGCTGAGAATATAGACAGCATGGTAAACAAAGCAGTCTTTGTGGCAAGTTGGGGGAGGTGGGGGTCATGGGCACTATGTGATCTTGTGTGTCCTCACCATGCTAAACTCTGTCTTGGTGTCCTATTCCTGTTCACACAAAGCTGGCCCAGATCTTCCTGCCAGAGGACACAGGCCATTAAATCTCATATGAACATGCTTTCTGTTGTATGGTTCACTGTAATTGGATTTCTTTACTTTTGGGGGCCCACCACCCAGCTCCCAAATAAATACATGGAGACCTATTCTTACTTATGAATGCCTACCCTGGTTTAGCTTGTTTATAGCCAGCTTTTCTGAATTAAAGTAACCCATTTCTCTTTAAGTACATTTTGCCTCTGGGCTTTTTTATTTTTTATATATTTGAATTACAAACAAGATTGAATTACATGACAGTCCCGGTTCCCTTCTCCCTCCCTTCCTCCTCTACCACCCCCTCCAACTAAAATCCTACCTGTCATATGTCCTTTCTTATAATCTACACCAGACTCAAAATTTCTGCTTCCTCATGACCTCTGCATCCTTCCTTTTCTTCCTGTCTCACGCTCGTAGCTTCCTCCCCCCTCTTCCCATGTTCTCATTTTGTTCATGGGATGGTGAGGCTTTTTACCTTTATTTATTCTATATTCTTTATTTTTTTCCTTTTTCTCCATGGCTGGCTGTTTGGCTTTTCCCTGGCATCCTCCTCTCCTCGTTTTCTTGTTCCTCACTCTTTTCTCTTCTCTCCAGCCTAGATTTCTCCTATTTATTCTCTCTGCATGGCAACACCACCTATCCTTCTCTCATGCCTAGCTATTGGCCATTCAGCTCTTCATTGGACCAATCAGGTGTTTTAGGCAGGCAAAGTAACACAACTTCACGAAAAGTTAAACAAATGCAACATAAAAGAATGTAACACATCTTTGCATCATTAAACAAATATTCCACAGCATAAATGAATGTAATTCATCTTAAACCAATATTCCACAACAGTCTACAATTCTCACCACATTGTCCTGTGTCCCTGGGACTGTGTCCAAGTTACAACTAGTTTCCTGGACCCACACTAGTTCTTTACTGGAGCGGGATGTTCGAGACAGGGTTTCTCTGTGGCTTTGGAGGCTGTCCTGGAACTAGATCTTGTAGACCAGACTGATCTTGAACTCACAGAGATCCACCTGCCTCTGCCTCCCAAGTGCTGGGACTAAAGGCATGCGCCACCACTGCCTGGCCCCATACTAATTCTTGAGGAGGTTACTTGCTTAGCCCATGGAGACATACAAATAGAAGAGTTTCTTGTAAAATGATCCCCCACTATGGAACCAATGGGCAAAGTAAAAGGAGTAAGGGTCCTACTTGTTATACAGATCATAGTACATTAAGCTACAGTTTTTATTGGAGTTGAATCTTTAGGTCAATTTGTGGAAGCAAATGCCTTTGTAATAGTAAGTCTTCCTCCTTTTGTGTATGGTCCTTCACTCAATCTTAGTAGCTAAGCTGCAAAATGTAAAAAATGGCAAGACCAAAGAGAAAAGTATCATGGAAGATACTGCATGTCTTCCATGGTACGTTATCTAGAATATCTGGGACACAATAAAATCAATAGCCACACACAACACAAAAATTGTGATCCACAATTAAGAAAATTAGAAGAATAGCACTGGTGTTGGAATCAGCACTAATAGTACAGAAGAAATGAGCCATATCAAGTTAACACTGCCAGAATATTGTATCTAAAATGTTTTTCCAAGTAAATATAGACATTAAGATTCAATTGGTTGAGGGTTATATTTCAGTGTAGAACATTTGCCTGGCATGTGTAAGACTCTAGGCTTGATTCCCTGCACTACAAAAAATCTAAAAGACACAATAAATTTCAAAGATCAAAACCCAAAATATGTTCCTCCTGTCATGTGTAACTAAATTAGGAATTAATAATTCTGGAAGTGAGCTGAGCAAAAAGATAACACAAAGTAAATTGGAAAGTAATTCAAGCAAATATTTTGTAGAACTGCCAAGTGGTGTACTGGAGCTGAGATGCTAAAACAAGCTAATCCAGTTCTTAATAAATTCAGAATATGTTCCCATGTCTGCAATCCCTGACATCAAATGGATAGATTGAAATCAGGCACAAGAATTGGCAATTGGTAATTTTGTTTAAAAAAATAAAGCTTCTGAACTCTTCTTCCTGGCACAAATCCTAGAGAAAAATTTATTAACATACAGCAGAACAGCACTGAATTCACCAGCGATGCTATGTGGAACCAAAGAATTATCTGTGCAAATCTTGGTAACAATATTGAAC